CCCACACACACACACACACACACGGCCTGCCCATTGTTCCGGCATCAATCGGTTTACAAATTATGCCCTGATCCAGTCAAAAAACATGATTTTTTTTTTTTTTCAGACAAAGCCTCTTTTTATTTTGTCAGTATTTCTTACAGTAACTTTACTACACCCTTGTATTCCTTAGGGCACCTGGGGGAGCAGATAGTGGAGGTTTAGGGCCTTGCTCAAGGGTCCAGGGTGGTGCAGATGAGTGTGGAGGCAGGTGTGGGTGCTTCATCTTTTCCACCTGAGTTTTGAGGTTGTCGGTCCAGGGAACCGAGCCAGTGACCTTCTGTTCACAGGCTCTTTCTCTAACCCCTGCGCCACCACTCCCCCTAGTTTAAGCAGTTAAGGTAATTAATTATCCCATAAACTGTAACAAAGTTAAAGGGATATCCTGGGGTCAAAGAAAGACTGGCCATGTTGGCCTCATGTCTGTGATGACCCCATTGGGCCCACATGACACAGCAGTGCTCCTAACTTTCTATGTGTGCATCAGTTAATTCACGCTTTCCATACAAACCAATAAATACTGGTTGGTGCGCAGCAAGAAGCTCTTGCTCTCATCATGATCATGTCTGTGGAAGCAAAATGAATAGACAAGATGAGGTTCTGCACAGAAAACCCCTTGACTCCTCTTATGCTGATGATGGGGTGTTTTCCTCCACAGCAAGGCTGAAACTGATGCTTGAAACATCATATACAGTAGTATACAACAGTTCAGGAAAGGTCCACAGATTGAGACATAGTCATAGAAACAACTTAGTGAGGATGGGAAAGGGAAAGTTAAAGTTAGACTATTTGGGTCGAGATCGATGTCACGGTTCATAGATCAAGTTTTTATAACTCACGTGTCAAAAATGAAATGACGTTGGCGGTAATGCCAGAAAAGTAAAGAAAAAGTTGGAGGGTGAACAGTTTTGGGAGTGTTTGCAGAGGAGAGATAAGATGATGGAGCTGCAGCTGAGAAGCTTCTTAATTGATTTCACAGGGAGAGGAGCGGGGGTGGGGCCCATGCAGAATATGGAGGAGGAGGTGAGAAGGGGGGCTTAATTATTAATGACAGAATCTTCAGATAAAACAGAGGGACAGCAAGCCTTTTTTTACGTAACAGAGCAGCGGTGCAACAGTGCAAACAGATTTCTTTCGCTTTCTGTCTTTCTCGCTTTATCCTCGGAGCCCACCGCTGTGTGCAGAGTTGTCGCTGTTTTTCCTGCTGCTGTCTCACGCTATACATAATGGAAAACACTCCATTTTCCTCACACTAATGTTCGTAATGATTTCCTCCAGCCGTTAAAAGCAGCAAGGCACCTACTTCATTTTGCTTTGTACTTATACTCTTCAATTGTGCCTCCTCTGAGATGTGCATTATTTAAGGCACTGTAAAGCCCCAAAAGACCTTTAGCTGCAAACAAAACAATAATAATAATGTGAAAAAAGACGGAAAAAACTAAACTGTGGCCATTCTTTGTGTAGGCTTATTCCAGAGGGCCATTGCTCAAAGTGGCTCAGCCATCTCCAGCTGGTCAGTCAACTACCAACCTCCGTTGTACACCGAGATCCTGGCGAAGAAGGTGGGCTGCACTCTGGACAACATGGCTGAGTTGGTGGACTGCCTACGGAGGAAGAGTTTTCGGGAGTTGGTGGATCAAGACATCCAGCCTGCACGCTACCACGTTGCCTTTGGGCCAGTGGTAGATGGCGACGTGGTGCCAGATGACCCAGAGATCCTCATGCAGCAGGTATTGAGGCCTTTGATGAACACAATTCAGTGAAATGTTTTGTGAAACTGTCCCGGAGTTTGTTTTTACACCACTGGAACCTGAGAATATAGCCTAGTCTTCAGGTCATTCTGTCCTCTGTTCTTAGGGTGAGTTCCTCAACTACGACATACTGCTAGGTGTCAACCAAGGGGAAGGTCTGAAGTTTGTGGATGACAGTGAAGGAGAAGATGGAATATCAGCTGCCTCATTTGACTACACTATCTCTAACTTTGTGGATAACCTCTATGGATACCCTGATGGTCAGATCCTACCCTTTTCTTATCTTTAAATTATTAATTACTTCAAGATTTGATAGTATCTGTAGCTTGACATGTTTTTTGTTCACTGTCTCAGAGTGATTCCAAAAGTTGTCTCTGTCCATCCGTTTGTCTGTCCGGGCATGTTTTGAGCATGAGAACTTGAAAATTAATTAAGGTATCGACTTCCATTTTAGTGTGTGCCTACATCTAGGTGTAAGAAAAATTCCTGACATTGGGTTGCCACGTCAAAATGCAAGAAGGCTGCCACCATAAATGTATATATGTTAACCTTGTGAGCTGTATAACTTGAAAAATAAGCAACGTGCCAACTTCCATTCAGGTGTGGGTCTAAATCTAGGGGAAGAAATGTCATTGAAAATTGGGATGCCACATCAAAATCCAAGATGGCCAGCACTATACATACACACACACACATATATATATATATAGAGGTATATATATATATACAATACATACATATACACACAGACACACACATATATCCATCCATCCATTATCTTTACCCGTTTATTCCATTTTGGGTCACGGGGATCGCCGGTGCCCATGTCCAGCAATCACTGTGCGAGGGGCGGGGTACACCCTGGACAGGTCGCAAGTCCATCACAGGGACACATAGAGACAAACGAGACAAACAACCATTCACTTTCTCATGCACACCTAGGGACAATTTTTTAGAGTTACCAATCAGCCTAACATGCATGTTTTTGGTCTGTGGGAGGAAACCGGAGCACCCGGAGAAAACCCACGCATGCACGGAGAGAACATGCAAACTCCACCCAGAAAGGCCCCTGGACCGGGGTTTGAACCAAGGACCTTCTCGCTGAGAGGCAGCAGCTCTACCAGTTGCGCCACCATGCTGCCCTACACACACGCACACACACACACACACACACACACACACACACACACACACACA